AAAGGTGAGTACACTATAGAATCGCCCAGTGTGTCCGACCGTTTACACGATAACTTTCGAAAGGAGAGTCTGATCGCGATGAAATTTTCTACATAGTTTCGTCTCATCAATATCTCGGTTGAGCTCGAAGATGAGAAAGATTCGTCCAGCCATTGCTGAGTTATCGGAATATGAGTCATTATTTCCTATGCTTTTCTATGCGAACATTGACCTATCCCGCTTTTCGTAAAAAACTTTTCCTCTCATAATCAAACAAAACCCCAACTATTATATACCAATCGATAGAGAATTTCAAGAGCTACAAAATGGTATATAAAACATTAAGAAACAAGAAGACTAAGTCACCTATTGCAAAGATACTTAAACGGAAATTGGTTTTGTTTTTGTCCACGTTCCAATTGATCGAAAAGGAAAGCTCCATCTTCCGATCACAGAGATGATAATTCGAGGTTTTCTAGGGCGAAGAACTCGAAGCTAAGCTCCACTTGCCTCGAAATCCTATTGGTTGAGCAGTAATCAATACAAATCAAGTTTTAATAGAAGGGGCTCGCTAGGATAATTTTGATGCCTACACGTGCTAGCATGACTCATCTGTCCAGTTCACTTTTTGAAGTACACATAACACTCGGATTTAAATCCAATGTTTCCACATTTATTGATTATATTAACAAATAGTATCTTAGCAACTTAAACACAAATGTAGTATAGTGTTTGTCACTATGGAATGAAGAAGTTATAATGATAAAGATAAAAGGTGAGCAAGAAGTGAACCAAAAGAGAAAAGATAAGAATGAAATAATGAAATGGAGGAGTAATAAACGCAGAATGAAAGAACTGTGAGAAGGTTACATCATAGTAATTCAAGCCATTGCAGAAGAAGAGAATAATACCATATACATAAATCTCTCACCCATTTCAGACAGATAAAGTAATCCAAATAGTCATTTTTTATTCTTCTGAAAGGAAATCCAATGCAACGAACTATTGAAGAAGAGATGGAACAGACTCAGACCTATCTTTTCGACCCAAGTCAGTGTTTGCATGGTATATCGTTTTTCGTAGGCTCTAATAGATAATTCTTTCGCGGTTAAAAAAAGTTCCTTTGCTAGAGCAAAGAGACAGCTATATAAAGATCTAAGTTAAGTCACATATTTTCTCTGCAACGATTCTTTCTCTGGATTTGTTATGAAAGGATAGAATGGAGACTTTCAGGCAAAGCAAGTGAAGCTATAAGCCAAAAAGCATTTTCACACGACCACTTGTGAGAGAGCTCTTTCACATTTCATCCCTCTGAGCTTACTATATATTCTTTGAATATGTGTGTTATCAAGAGTCGATTTCCAAGAGATTCTACTTGTTCATCTAAATGCTAGGTATTTGTATTTCTCAACTCCTACTAACTTTTGATCTTCCATGTAGACATTTATTATTGGTTTTATCGTTTGGAAATAAAAAAAAAAGTTGCGCAACCGTTTTGACAAAGTTGATGCCTTGTTTCTATTTTTTCAAGTAGGCTATTATGCTGTTGCAGACCTTTGTCCTTTCCTTTTCTAAGTATTTCACCATCGGTTCAAAATCTCTATACACTTACCATGATAGTCAATAAATGAATAAGGACTCAGGCTGCTATCTTGTGATAAATCGATGTAGATATAAAAAATAACCGATTTAGTCTCTTCAAATACTACATAGGTACGGCGATTGTTAAAGCAAGAAACAATTTACTTTAATAGTCCAAGTGACTTTTCTACTCTAAACACCTGAACGATCAAACTCATTTGCCACACTTTATCTTATGCATTTTGACAATCCACATCTAATACTATAGTTAGTGTGTTAACACTCATGTTGTCTTTCACTTCTTGATAGATTGTTAGTATTCTAGTGAGTAACAGATATTTGAGCCAAAAGTCCAATTACTCGATGACCAGTGTCGTACTTTTGCTAACGTTATTTTTGTCTAACAACTTCGAATGTATTACCAGAAGAGAGATGGGACATGTTCGACTCCAGCAAGGTACTCCTGCCTTCAACTTGTTTGGTGTAGTTATTTTAGCTGATTCTTATTCACCGAAATACCTGCACTCGCTCGACCAAACATTGAAGCATTTTGCTACATAATCTATATGACTGGATGGAATTCGTTTGATCATCAAATTTGACACTAAGCCATAGATGGACGGCGTCTTTGGTTTCATATGAGTTATTGTCAAATCGGTGACTTTTGTTATATAGATATTCTCTAACCGAAACTTTTCAGACTCAAACATTTGAACTACCCTGCTGTTGGTGAGTTTTTTTTAATCAGAACTAAGATTCAGTCGTCTACAATAGATATATCGAAAAGACTAGGGTAGGTGGATGAACGGACATTCTCATAATCGATCCACCCACATTCCACACTCATGCGATTATTACTAACACTAAAGAAAATTTTTATTATTGTAAGAATATAGATCTTATATGTTTTTTTTTAGCAAGTAAATATATTCTTTTGTTACCATAGAGATATCGTTGATTAATCGTTTTCGAAATGCATTGAAAAAAATGAAAACAAAGCTTATTACTATGAATCTTTTTGTTTCCAATGAACCAGATCCTGTTGCTAACGCGGAATTCGAACTGAAGACACAGCTGATATCGACTCGTGTTTACATTGTGATTCTAATTGTGTCGCTTGTGGTTCTTTTCATTTGCAGATGGCAAGTACCGATAGCAAAATCTTTCACCATGGAATCACCCTCATATGCAACATATGCTATTTTATACAAAAACTATCCAAAATCACTTTCATGTCCTTGTACAAACATCGCCATTCGACATGATCAATTTCTTCGTGTTGATGTTCGATTTCATCAAATATGTTCAAGTGTATTCATTTCCGATGCATATTCTAAACTTCTTCTGAACTCTCGAATACCGAATGCTATTGCTACTGGTCAAGTTCATATGCAACTTCTAGCTTCTTGGTGTCGTCTAGCCAATAAAAGCATTATCAATGATGGCAATGCATTCAATGCTGCTGTGTTCATTTCTCATGAAGTTCTTCCTTTCGAACTTTTCGAGAAACAAATTCAAGCATTAGTACAATTGTTTACTTCATCCATAACGAGTAATTTTGTTCGTCTATTAGATATCAACAGAGAAACAAAGTCGAACAATCTAATTGACAGTGGTTTTCAAACTGTTACATGGCAAGGTATTATCGGCATTTTTCCTCACATCACTTTGATAGGTACCTATAAAATGTTCAACAACGGTACATGTACGTGTTTACTCTCACCCAGTTGTACTGAACCACTCAATTTATATGATTGGTCTGTTCAGTCATTAGTATATACAGTACCAGGGCTTCGAACTGGTTGTTACGTTGAAGAAGCAACACTTCAGTCGACTCTTGAGTGCTACTACAATCAGAGCTGTCTAGATACTTTTCATGCTATGATTGGTATCGATCAATTATTTCAGGCAGCCGCTCTCAATTCAACTTCAACATCGAGTAGATTTACTGCTAGTTCACCTATAAGTGATCTAGTTGCAGTTAAGATGGTCGAAAACTGGACAAGTACATCAAATCATGTAGCATTCTATGACAGTTGCAAACCTATCAAGTGTGTATATTCTTACAGAAGCAATGATGAATTCTTGCATGCCATTATAACCATTTTTGGATTGATTGCTGGTCTAACGATGGTTTACAACGTTCTGGTTCCTGTCATTGTCAAATTTCTGTTGCACAGAATTTATCAAACTTCAACAGCCATGCAAAGTAAGTTTCTTTGCTTTTGAAAATATTAGTCATTAGAATAAAAGCAACATTTCATGTCGAGATTTAGTGGACAAAGTATGCCTTACAGAATGAGAAGTTTGCATTTTAGAAAACTGACATGACTGGAAAAAAAAGAAAAGGCCAACCTTCTAGAAACTTTATTTGTGTAATTAATAGATGACTTAAACAAATTTTCGGTCTCCGACACTCCCGAAGTCATATTCACTGCATTGAAGAAATTTATCTTCTCGTGTTTTTAGAGTTGTCATTCGTTGAGAAGTTTCATCAATTATGGAATAAAATCAAGAAAGCAATTGTCGATTTGAATTTGTTCTACATACCGCCAGCATCCATCATCGAAGCTGCATACAAACGAAAAGTACAGATTATGTCAACACGTGTCTTTATCATTCTTCTTCTTACTTCCCTTGTTATACTAACCATTTATGAATCTCAAGTACCTGCCACACAAATAATTACTATTCAAATGCCCTCATACAATCAGTATACAGTTATCTTTAATAGATATTCTCAAACGCTCTCCTGTCCTTGTACGACTATCTCCATTCCATATAATCAATTCATTGAGTTGAAAGTCGTTCGTTTCCATCAAATATGTCAAAGCATCTATGTAACAGAGAGTTGGTTAGAGTTGATGTCTAATTCGTTCAAAGGAGATATTTTGATTCAAGACTTTCGTATCGTTGGTCCAACTTTCTTTCGTGCATTGAGTTCGCTTTGCAATATGACACGAAGAGCTATCGATGATGAATTGATCGTATTTAATGCCAAACGTTTTGTGACAAGTCATGTCATGGATATTGATCTCTTTCAAGTAGAATCTCAATCATTCATTGAATCATTTATCTCATCCATCACAAATACATTTACACGTTCGTTTCAACTTGTACAGGATACCACTCAAGGTAATGCTCTTCTGTCAATGGCATCAGGTAATATTGTATACACTGCTGTGCCTCAGAATGATAGCATTGTTGTCAGAACATACTATCCCACTCGGATCATCAATGAATCGTTGAATTGTACTTGTCAGCAAAGAAGAACCTGTATTAATAAAGCGGGTTTCTACTCGAGAAATCCAAACGATTCTCAAAGTTTTCGACGATTTCCTATACAAGGCTTGTTTATCAGCTGTTATATTGTGGAATCTCTTTTGCAATCCAGTCTTATCTGCTTTTATAATCAATCCTGTATTGATACATTTAAGAACATGATGAATTCTTCTATGGAACTCAATACAAGTGCGCTTGATCAAAGTTTACCTAGTTGGTTTGCACCAGATTCAAAAATTGGTAGTATTGTGGATCGATTAATGGTTGAAGAATGGATGAATATAACATCACACAAGGCGTATTATGATCGATGTCAACCAATCACATGTACTTATTCATATGTAGACAAAAATATATGGTTTGTTGTCATCAGCACTGCTATTGGATTGATTCGAGGTCTAACAATTATTTTGAAATTTGTTGTACTTCTTGTTGTTAAATCCTTCTTCTATTTCTGTTATAATAGAGTTCAACCATTGTCAAATTAATAGAAAGACATGAAACTCAAACTAATAATTTCAAATTTACATGTCGTTTACTTCGTTGTTGTTGTTTCTGTTCAATGTTGTACAATCGCTTTTCAAATATATTCAAGTCAAGATTTCATTTGACACATTCTAAACACGTATTCAACTTGCAAACAATGGTGTTACTTTTCGGCATGAATGCTTTCATTGTCAACATCAGTTGACCAATGTCCAAACTTTTGAGCATTAGAAACAGTTATATTTCCAACAATATTCTGATTTCAGAGATAGGATGAACAAAAACTCGAACAAATTGGAAAGATATATAATCAAATGAAGACTAAGGACAATGTTAATGATGTTTTGCAAATCTATTCATTGCATTTGTAAGATCAATACAAATGTATGACAGTTTTTAATATTTACTGACAGAAGCTGGAATCTACAATGTAGATCTATCTGACTATTCCTATCTGGGTCTTTTTTTTGAATACAACCATCCAATAATATATGAGACATACCAAACGTTTTTTCACTAGTCCTTCAAATCAGGTCGCTAGATCTTCCGAAGCGACAGGAAAGTTTTCGAATTTTTACTTTTTTTCTGGACAACTTTCGACTTTCTGAGGGTGGATGGGAGTTCGAGTCTGCTTTTCATTCATATCGTCACCCACACCCACCCTTAGAATTTCATCCAGTTAATAATGAATGATCATCGGATAAGATAAACTTCGAAAAGACAATTAGTATTAATTTCGAAAATGTGTCGTTTTTGACTACTGACAATTATAAATGACGAACGAAGTGCACATATTTCAATGAAATCATATTGAAATTAATTTTACTAAAACAATACGTCTCTATCTGCCATCTAGATTGTCTAAAATTATTCTTTTTCAAAACCTCTTCGACTCTACTGTTAACTTCTTCTTATTCATTTTATCAGCTTCAAAAAAAAACCAAAAAACGTGCAACAATGCACAGAACTTTATTATGTTTTTAATGATCTTTATCCACTTATTAAATATCTATCTCTATCATAAAAAAAATACAGGTGAAATATGCACTCAACATAGAAAAACAGACTATTTACTGATCATTGAAACCTAACCAATAAAATTATTTTGGTTTGATCAATATTCGTGATGATGCAATAAACATCTATTTCAGATGTCTCTTCGACCAAATTTAGAATCAAATACTGTTCTACATTTTACACTATGCTGTTATTCTAATTCAAAACATATAGTCTGTACTCGTCGTGAAGATCAGTCTTCATGAGAATGTTGTTATTCCTTAGCACCTGAACATGTTCGAACACTTATACAAGCATAAAATCGTCGTGCTTTTCCAATTTTATCATATACTCAAGCAGTTACTATTGTTCAAGAAGATTTAAGTGAAGCATCAGTTATAGTTGGTGTTAAACAAGTTCCTATTGATCTATTAATAACAAATATAATTTATGTCATATTTTCATATACACATAAATGTCAATAACCGTTTATGGTAAGTACAGATAAAAAAATTCAAAGAAAAATCTTTATATTTAGCATATTCGTCTAGCACAAAATGATCGATATAATGAACAAGCTCGAACGACTATTCGAGATAATAGATATGAAACTGCATTAAGTCTTATGCCGAAATCTATTGGATCATTGATTGTTCTTTTTTACTGGATCAGACAATATTTTTCAAGTAAAGACGAAATTTTCAACTATAGATTAACATGTGAACTTTAGGCTGTTTTCAAGAAATCTTTTTATACCGGTTAAGAAAATAATTCCTTAATTATTTTATTTAACGCGATTAATAAAATCTATGGATGTACTATTAATCGTAAAGATCATTTAATTAAGAACGAAACAGAAGCATACAATAAACAAAAATTTCTTAAATTTAGTAAATAGAAATTTTATTCATCCAGAATATTACATCTAAGAGTAAAAAATATCTACATTGAATATAAAATTTACTGTTAAATGTATTTATAATTTTTATCTACTTGATTGTCATATTCATCATACACTTTTAAATATATAAATTCTCTGTAGATTGCTTCATATACTTCATGTATAACCAATGGAATTTATTGGAAACCATTTCAACCAAAATGAGTTTATATTGATAATGCAAATCAGTTATGAGTTCCATCACCAGAATGGACACAAAATGGTCCAAGATGTAATTGTCCATCATTACCTCATCGACTTATAGTTGTCTATGATATAACAACTGATAAAGGTTGTAGTATGGATTATCCGTTTTTATTACATAATCCTAAAATAAATGCATCTGCGCAGAGATGATTAATAAACCAAGCAAAAAAATCTTTAGTTTTGATGGTCCTGATATATTAGTTTGTTCAATTAATAATATGTCAACAGAATTACCATTAGAATCAACTGTTTATTTTGATTCAAACCTTTGAGATGTAAGTCAAATAGGAATGTTATTATTATGATCGTTCAGAATTCATCATCACAGATTGAACAGACTCATCTAAAAAACCCCAACCAATAGATTCATGCCATTTGAGGGTGTGGGTGTAGAATTTCTCTTTTCCCCCACACTCACCCATACCCACATCCTTCTATTGCATTTCATAAATATATATATATTACTACTATTGAATGAGACTGATTTGATATATCTTATATTCTAGTGATTGTTTTCTCAAAACAAATTTCCATAGATCTACAAACATAAATAATAAAACGATTTTATTTTAATAATTGAACATTTATTTAATCGGATTATCTTTTCAAATTTGTTAAGTCGAATTCATTTTAAAAGTAGAAAAAAATCACCATTTGAAGATATTTATTGTCAGATATTCTCTTTTGCTTATAATATCAAATATATATATATATATATCTTAATTTGAATATAAAAGAGGAAAATTGATAATATTATATTTAAAAGACGTCAATTATTTCGAACATACGAAGAGGACAATAAGCATATTCACCCGATGACAATTGACCACATGTATCGTTATCAGAACAATAACTAGATAAATATATTATTTTATCTTGAATATTTATTCATCTATGTCATTTTACCTTTGTCCATCTATTTAACAAAACAAATAATTAATTTAATCAAATATTTAATTATTTAACCTTGACATCGAACAGATTTTATTCGAATTCGACGAGAATATAATGAATATTTCGACTAAATATTTAAATCAATTTAAATATGAAAAAATTAATTTTAATAACAATATGAATATTACAAAATGTATATATCCATTTGAATATTGATTAACAATTTCAATCAATAATCGATATATAAAAAAAGACATTTGCATATAGATCCTAAAATAAAATAAAGATAATAAATAATAATATTTATTTTAAATATCTCTATTATCGAACGTTAAACGGTAAATAAAGTTGTTTACTTAATTTATTTGATTATATAATAACTAATCAAGATTCGTCTGTGTATTTCGTATAATTAAAGTAAAAAAGAAACTGATTGATCGATTGTTAGTTGATATGACCAGTGAAAGATAGATGAGGAAAGAGACCGTTTATATCTATCTATCAAATTTCAACATATAACAACATTCAAATATCTTTATTATCTTTCAATTTCTATTGTAATCTTTATTATTTTAAAATAAAAAAAAATCTATCAGTTTAAATCAGTTCATTTTCAAACATATTTTTTTTTGTGTTTTTTCTTTCTTTATATCTCTCTCTCTTGCATATGATGTTTGATGAGCAAAAATAAAAAAAAAATGATTTATTTGCATTGGTAGACGAAAGAGACAAAGTTGAATTTGATTTGTTTTCTTGTAATAAAGAAAAAATGTCTAAGTTAGTATTAATATTATTGCTGATTATACTATTAATAGATAATGTTAATTGTTATGGTTGTGATTGTTCATGTTGTACAGGTTGTGGTTGTTCATTAGTTTATCAAGGAACAATATCAGTATCAACATGTGCTTCAACAATATGTACAGATGCTTGTAAATCAAAATATAGTACATGTTTATTGGGATCATCAAGTGCTGTTTGTTCCGCTAGAAGCTTTTTTCAATTTTATTCGATTTTATTTTTGATTATTTCAACAATTATATTAATTTTATCAATCGATTTTATTTTAATAAATGTTTAATATTTATCATTATTCGACTGAAAATTATTTCTATTTGTATTTTTTCGGTTTTTTTTAACAAGAATTTAATTATTTAAGTTTTGTAATGATTTGTATGAGTCTTAAAAAGTTATTATTATTATTATTATTTTTGTCTTCAAAATTTTTTTCAAAAACTTCAATTACAAATTTTTTTTAAACAAAAAAGATAATAAATTATTTTATTGAGATATAAATCAAGATAAATATTAGCTATAAATTAATTAAATAATCTCATCTTGATAATGATTATTTAAAAATAATTTTTATTTATTTAAATAAATGAGAAATAGTTTGTTTTAAAATCTTAAATAAATTTATAAATAAATATCTTTATCGATTATTAATTATTTAACAATAAATAATTAAAGAATTTCAAATAAATAATAGGAATAATATTTACTATTGAATTAAATATTTATTTATATAAATAATCATTCGATTTATTGATATATATTATTTAACTAGACCAATTTTAAATTAAAAATAAATAACTTTATCTTACACTAAATTCAATATTGAATAATAAATTCAATTTTTTGTTTCCTTCAATTACTAATAAAACGTTATTTAGCTAGTGATCGATATATTATTATTAAAATAAATTTTTCAAAGAAGAAATCTTCTTTAATCAATAAATTATTTTAAAATAAACATTCGAATATTCTATTAAAATTAGCAGTATTCAGATTTCTAAAACAAAAAGAAATTACTCAGATAAATCATCCAATTTCAGTAACTATTACACATTGAATAAGAGATTACTGAAAAATTTCTAATATGTAATCATTAACTCCCATTAAATAAATTACACTGAAACAATAGATACATTTCAAAATAAAATAAAAAGGATATGCTTACTAAACTTCAGTCCATTGTTCCTTAAGGATCATTTTCAAAAGAGACACAATTTTTCTATAGATAAAATAGATAAAGAGAGTAAACAGATCTACTATAGACTGCTTACTATGACTAGGAGTGGCACTTTACCTTTAGTTTAAAAAGGGTGGGTGTTGGTGTGGTGGTGGGTGGGTGTAGGTGTGGGCGTGGGCGTGAGTGGGGGTGGGTGTAGGTGCGGGTGAGGTGCGGGTGTGAGTACAGATCTTCAATTCACTCACACCCGCACCTCACCCACACACCCACATCCACACCCATACCTCACACCCACACTCACCCACACCCACACCCACACCCCTGGTTTTCTTGTAAGAGAGATGCTTGCGTCATGTCAATTTTTTTTCTACTGTTGAAATTATTGTAAATATGAAATAATGAAAGGATATGATTTCGTTATTCGATCCGAGACAATCTAATTCAGAGAAGAGTTTGAATTGATAGAATACTATATAAGCAAACGAAGAACAGACCAAATTGTAGATGATAGTATAGAGATTAAATAGGAAAGTTAATTTTTTGCTTTTTGAAAACTATTTAAACATACTTTTCTCTCTATCTCTTCTTGAAAGGAATAGAAAAAGAACTACTCATTAATATATTGTACTTAAATATTATGTTCCTCTGATTTTTCTTAGTTTTTATATGTACGTTAAAGTTATTTTAGAACAGCAAAATTGATCTGACACTTTTGTTTTCCATATTATTTTATTCCTGTAAGAAATATAAATTTTTTTTATTTTGTTCAAAAAAAATCAATAACAAACGTCGAGAGACAATTGAAATGTGTGCACTCATTCAATGGTTTTCTGTTACTTACTACGTAGTATATTTTTCATTTGTTAAGATTACAGTTTGCTCACTATAGTGTCATTGTTAAGTACAAACTAATGAATCATATAATATTATTACGCATAAAACTATTGGACCGTTAAGTAATTTTTGTCTAGTCAAAACAAGTTAATTACATTAGCAATAGTTGAACTGATAATCTAGTATAGAGTAACAATACTTGACATCAGGGTTGCCAGATCGAAAACTCAAAAATCAGAATTTTTTTTTGCAAAATCAGAATTTAATCAGAAAAGTCAGTTTTTGAAAAACCTAGTGGTTATTATGGTATCATGTTGGTACAAGATGCTCTATTGAATCGGTGTTCATTAATTCATACTTTATTTTCAAAGATATTTCGCTATAAAAAGCATAATACAATGAATTTACTGTTTAGCTAACAAGGAAAAACTAATGAAGACACGTAGTGTCGAACTCTTTCGCTAAACTCAAAATTCGCTCACAAAAAACGTACAAAAACAAATCACATATATACGATATAAGTTATAAGATCCTATGAAAGAAAAAACTGATGATTATATAACATAGATTCGACATTATTGTTCATATTTTCCAGTTTTTCGAATTTACTTTAACAAATGTGTTTGAGTTAAAAGATGTTTATAAAATTGTTCACACGAATAATTATAATACGATTCAATTTCGCTAAAAAAGCTGTGATATGATTTAGAAAAGTTCAGAATTCAGGAGAAAAGCAGGGAAAATTATCAAAAACAGGAAAAATCAGACGAGAGTGCTAAAATCAGAAAGGCATCCAAATTTTGGTCATTGTCCTGACTTTTCAGACAATCTGGCAACCCTGCTTGACATTCATATTTTCAAGATAAATGTACTTAAAATTGTCTGTTCGTGCTAATAAAAATTTACTAAATCTTAAATATCTTTTGGATAGGGACTTAGAAGAGGAGAAAATTTTCGACTTTTTCGTTACTTAATAGTGTAGATTTCGGTGCACGAACAATTTATTACTTGGAGAGACATTCTTTCATTACTTAGTCAAAAGATCTGTAATGAAAAAGTTTTAATTGATACCATTGCAATTCACTTCTCTACTTTTATGATATTCATTTATTAAAACTCATATTGATTCTATATAAAGTCTATTTACAATAAATTATTATAAAGATATCAAAATCGTACAATCAAACAACACTTGAAAGTTGATGTAGCGACATCTTCGTTTACATTACTCATCCTTATAATGTCTCATATTATTATAAAACTTATGGTTTACTACTTTACTAAACAGGTTCATATTTGAGAAGTCTAAAAAATAATTTGTTCCTGAAAAGACAAATCAGATAGTTCATCTTATTCATTATGCTTTATTTTATGTTACCATGCCATGTATTATTGATATAGCGGAGCCCTGCCTCTACCTTTTCCACAAGAAAGAAAAAAAAATGATTCCTGCATAGAAACAAAAAAAAAAGAAAATATCGTTCTTATTCTGCCTTACGTTAATACAAACTACCACCTTATGATTTCTTTTTTTATATACACCAAAAGGAACTGTGAAAGAAGAAAAAACTAGAGCGATGAAGTTCGAATTGTTACCCAACGAGATTTTACTCGATCTATTCGATTATTTTAATGGTGTTGATCTTCTTCGAGGATTCTATGGTCTTAATACTCGTTTTAATTTTCTTCTCTACAATCAATTTCGAAATTATTGTTTTAAATTTGATTTTGTGTCGAAACATAATTTCGATATGATATGTCAACAACATTTACCATTTATTACTAATCGAGTTATTGCTGTTAGTCTTACGGATGATGATAATACTCCAGAACAAATCAATTTGTTTCTTTCATATATAAAATCATTTAATGAATTCATTCAATTACGATCACTTTCATTATACTATATTCGTTCATATGAAACACTAATGAAAATTTTAGATCAATGTTATCATCTTTGTTATCTCACTCATTTAAACATTTCTGATTGTTATTTTCGAGTTAATCAAATGAATTTTCAATTACTTGTCAATAGCATTTGGACTCTACCTAAACTTATTCATTGCGATTTTACAGTTGAGACAGAAGAGCAAAAGCTTTTTTTTACACCGACAAAATTCTCTTTATCTCTTCAAAACATATCTATCGGTATAAATGAACTTAAATTCAATCAAATAAATCAATTATTTAAATCTACGCCTCATCTTAAGCATCTTCATGTATCCCTTGATTCTTCTAGCTATGATGATTATAAACCATTTATTCATTCAACATTAATTCATTTGGAAGTATCTATGTTTAATGTTGTTGAAAGCTTACTAATAAAACTTTTTCAAAGTACGCCTAATTTATGTCGTTTAAGCGTCGATTTATTGTCTAACTTAATCGATGGTCATCGATGGGAACAAATTATTCGTAATCATTTGCTCAAACTTCGTGTATTTCGACTTAAAATGCAACAGTCACGTATTTTCGATCAAAATATAGAAGAACACGCTAATAAATTACTTAAGTCATTTCAAAATTCATTTTGGATTGATGAACATCAATGGTTTGTTCGATGTCTTATACAAAACAGTACAATTGTTTTCTATACTTTATCCAAACCATTTCATTACTGCGAGGATAAGCTTCCTCGTTCATTAATATCCACTCTTCCACACGATGATCATCAGAATTTTTATAATAACATAACTAACATCTATAATAAGACATTTTTTGACCAATCGATATTATCTCATATTCGTTTGACTAACATTAGTTATCTTTGTATAAAACTACCCATTAACGATCAATTTTGGTCCGTTGTTCCAACTTTGAATCGATTGAGGTCACTAGCAGTATCATCACATGTTGATACTTGTCATTCTCAATTACAAGATTTACTTGATCGTGCACCTAATGTTCATTATTTATGTATCCATCACGATGCATCATTACCTATACAAATGTCATTATTCAAATATACAAATACATCAGTTCGTCAACTTAATTTAACAGACTACAGTCGTTATTTCAATGAAGAAGAATGTATTAAATTAAGTCATTCACCATTAGGTATTCAATGTGAAGTTCTTTCTATTATGGTTATTTATCGTGAAAGTATTATTTATATGATCAAAAATATGATCAATCTTCGGTCATTACAAATTCAATGTGAAGATGAAAAGAATTGTGAAGACTTAGCAGAGATAGAGAAGAATGATGGATCTTGTGATGAAAAATTGGAAAACAAAGATGAACTTATTGAATGGTTAAAAGATCGTTTGTCAGTAACATGTTTGATCAAAAGAAATGCAGATTGGACTAACATTATTCTGATATGGATTTGATGAAAACAAGCAAATATACAAATCTTGATTAGTGATGAATAGATGTTATCTTGAATAATTTTATTGAAACGAAATCATACTTGAAATTAATCTAACTTTATTAATCTGATCTGATTTAGTATAAAAAAAAGATTTTAAGAAAGGGTCCACCAGGTCATCACTCTGTCACTCCTCTCTGTTAAGGATTCTGCTAATATATGTTGATACATCGTATATGAGCATTTTCTCTATGAACCAGGTGATATCATTTCTTGGTATTATCCCTATAAGTAGGTCATTTCATGTCTTGGTTTTTTCCTTTATGTTTTCACATACTAGATTGGATTTTTCCTTTCCAATTATACACGTTTATATATATATGCATTCGTTCGTTCCTGTCCTCTTGTGTCATCCTTTTCGTTTTCTTCTCTTCTTCTCCTTCTCTCTTGTTCTTCCTGCTACTTATCTATCTGACTTGTCATCGAATAAGAGAAATTCATGTTCACTCAAAATCACTCAAACTACACTCTTGAAAATTTCAAATATCGATTTTCTATCTTCATTCGATAGATCGTGATCTGAAAAGTTGATGGTAAAAATATGAGTGCTTCTGCTTGAGTTTGTGAAGATTTATGGTCAAACACTGACAAGGTCTCTAACAAGACTCTTGTTTTTTTTTTCTAAAGTTCCATGGTCTCGATATTTTTGACTTTTCTCAGTATCAGTTCATCCGTTCGAGATGCAGTTTGTTTTAAAAGATAGCGAAAAAATAATTCTCCATAAGAATGCTCAGAAGAAATAATTCTTTCACTCACCTCCAGTCTTCTTAAAATTTTACCAAAGGGGAAACAGCGGACTTCAGGACTTCAAAAGACTTCATGGACTTCACCGGACTTCAACCATAGAGACTTCAAATTTTCACAAGACTTCAAAAGACTCCGAAAGATTTCAAAAGATTTCAGCGAACTTCACGGACCTTCCAAAGACTTCAAAAGACTTCATCAGATTTCACGAACTTCATCGGATTTTATGGACTTCATCAGACTTCTTAAGACTTCACAACCCAGGTTAGGGTGGGAAGTTGCCGTTTCCAGACCGTTACCCGGTAATGGTAACGATAACGGACGCTAGCGAAAAAGTTACCAGTTACCCGGGAACTGATAACTACCCCGTTACCAGTTCTCGGGAAACCGGGGTAACGGTCCTACTATTGTGGGCAACGGAGAAACAGCAGAGACTTCAGTCGTGCAGCCCCTTAAGTCTTGAAAATCTTTCGAAGTCTTCTGAAATCTCTTGAAGTCTTATGAATTCTCATGAAGTCTCACGAATTCTTCTGGAAGTTTTAAAATACATTTAGTGCATGAAAATTCATAAGAAACCGATGAAATTGTCTTGTTTTGGATGTGAATGTGGGTGGGTTAGGGTTCGGGTATTCTCTATATATTCACACCCACACCCACACTATTTAAACGGTAAGGGAAAGTAATGATAGCATGATCAAGTATAATAACAGATTATACAAACACGGGTATGAATTTCACATCTCCAACGTGAGACAGAATCTAACATACCATTTCAAAAAAAATCCCGCAAAACTTATTTTTCTCAGGTTGTATTTCGTCAAATCAATTGCTTCTCCATTACTAACAGAAGTTTCAACTTTTAAATTGAATTGAGTTTACAGATTTTGAAAACTTCTTCGAGTTAACGAGAAATATATTCGAATAATAAGTCGAATCGTAATCTTTCTCCACTGATTTCCTCAGCTGTAATACAAAACATAACGTCGAAAGAGGTTAAAGCAACAAGGTGCTGGCATATTGCACAAACATATATTAATATTTCTTTTGCCGATAAAGCACTTCTCATACCGACTTCAACAATATAACTTGAGTGAAAACACTTCCATGTTCCATAGAGATCCATAGCCATTCATTTCGGAAATGAATGCATCTTCATTGTATCCTTTCAACTATGAATCAAGAAAAGAAAAGAGATTTATTTTACAACATAACGAACTTTTCGCACTTTCGGGTGTGGGTGAACTTGTGACTGTGGCTGTGGGTGAGTGCGAATTTAGAATTACTATAAATCTCACACCCACCCACACCCATACCCTTCTGAAGAGTGCATTATTCTTTCATCTTTGTATAAAGTGCAGCACGTGACATTTTATCACACCTTGCAGAATAGCGTTAGTAGTGTTGATATTCGCTCTTATCTCCACCAAGATATTTCGCGCTCAAGTAATATCATTGTATCTTTCCCTTAAAATGTCAGGTTTGTAAATATCCACAATCAACATTGCGAACAACCGAGCAAAGAAAAACAGAAATGTTTATTATTCGGCTTTTGCTGGTCATCATTTCTTATACTTATTGTATAGATATCTGCAGTAGTCTAGAGTATGATTTTATTGTCGTTGGAGTAGGATCTGGAGGATCAATTATGGCGGCAAGATTAAGTGAACCAGATAATAACTGGAGTGTGCTAGCGTTAGATCGTGGAAGTGCAAGCGATTCAACACCACAATATGAAGTGGACGGCGATCTTAGTGGTGTATATGATCCAAATTATTTCTCGGTGCCACAAGATTATCTGCTGGGACGTCTAGTACGAAATCCCCGATATTATGGTATTGGTGGAACAGCCATGATCAATGGGATGACCGCGATTGCGCCTTCTCGACATTTGCTAGATCAACTCTGGCCAAATGGATGGAAATGGGATGATCTGTTCCCTTATATGGTAAAGATGCAAAATCATTATTGTTACTATCTCCCATCATCATTAACTGGAATATCCGATTCAGATTGTCGATTGTGGCACGGTCAAGATGGTCCACTCAATATAGCTCCACCATTATTTGGGAACATGTCTGATTTACTGATTGAGATGATGAACGAATGTGAGCAAGATGTTGGATTCATGACTGATTATGATAATCCTACTAAGCAATATGGTTGCTATTTTCAGCAACAGTTTCGTAAACCATTGAATAAAACGGATCCGAATTCTTCAAGTATACGAGCAAGTACATGGGAAGCTTATTTGAAAGGAATTAATCGTACTAATCTTCAAATATTGGATTCAGCAACTGTTTTAAAACTTGTCTTCGATGGTAATGAACCTACAAAATGTATCGGCGTAGTGTATGAATATAAAGGACAAGTGTACACAGCGACAGCAAGGAAAGAAGTTATTCTATCTGCTGGTGTTTTTGATACACC